GTTACATTATCCAAATGATTAAATTTTTTTACGATTATACGCGTTGAATAAGAAAACGATAAGCTTCCGCTGGCCGCGCTTTCTCGGTGGCGAGTGTTAACGCTCGCGTTACAGCTTAAGGCGAATGTCTTCTCCGGTCTCTGGATTTTATCGTCAACATATCGCTTATACGCGTCTGGTGTCTGCAATTCTTTTTTCGGCGTTTGGATATTTTATGAAATCATCGATCAAAATCTGTTAATCCCTCATCAGTTGTTCCATATGCGGTTACGCGTCATACACTGAATTAAATTAGATCGCAACTTAACAAATGGGTTAGAAAATTGCAATCATTAAAGTTTCAAATTCAATTGTCCTCACATTGTAAGAAAGAAATAATAATGCATAGTTAGCAAATTGTATTTTCGTGAAATCCTTTAAAGATTAATATATATCGATCATTAAACGCGTTCAATAACGCGTGATAATATTAAAATTGAATTAAAATTGAATTAAAAGATAGAAAAAATGAATCATTGTCATGTGCATGTGAGTCTAATTTGAGCCGAGGATTAATATATTACGGCAATACTAATATCCACGACGGGTCGCCAAACATCGTGTCCCGGATATGCACCTATCCCTGGGGCCTTTATCGCGGATACACCGCTTACATTGTGCTCCGTCTACCGTGCTGTTGCTCCAGGCACAATATAATACCCACAACGCACCGGCGAAACGAGCCCTTTATTGCCGCGTTGCTCGGATGCTGCTTCCTTTCTCAGGCGAACACCACCACCAGCGCCTCCTCCTCCGCCTCCTCTCTTAACCGCCGCCCCCGCTCCCGGCGTTCTTGCCTCCTTCCCTTTCGGGCGTCCTTCTTCCTCCTTTTTAGCCGCCCATCACGCACACACGCACACGCACATTATCCGCGTTGCGTTACGTTGTGTTACATTGCGTTACGTTGCGTATATGTGCCACGCCAGTGCACGCGTCGCGCCGCTGCAGCACCTCGGAGTTGCGTTCGTTTCGCGTCGCGTGTCACAAAAAATTTTCGTGGGAATCCCACTATCGCCGCCGCTAATTACCGCCGCGACGTTCCTCAAGGACGATCATAGTCGCGGGAGAATGCGAGAGGAGAGATAGGATCGCGTCTTTAATCCTGTTACCAAGCCGATTCCCGCGTATTACTGACGGCAGCTATCGGTCGGATTTACTCCGTTATTTTCGCGAGACGAGACTCTCGAACGGTGCATTTTTCGCGCGTAGCGCGTAAATTTAAAGCGAACCATTCGTACGCGCGATCATTTTGCGGAAAAAAGATGCAAAATGTTTCAACTAAAAATAAGAGACTTTAAATAAATATCGGATGGTCTTAAAGTCTTATTTTTTTTTTTATTATTCCGGTCTAATTTTATTCTCGTCGATGTGACGTTATTTATTTATAAATCTCGGCGGGGCGAGAGGTGGTGTCGCGCGAGCGAACGATTACACGTGTCGATGAGAACGCTCGACGCGAGCCGATCGATCGGTCCCTCGTGTGTCGAGCGCGCAGATGAAGTGGCATTATTGTACGCGAACCAGTTTCCTTTGTCGCTAATGACGACGTTCACCGACATCCGCCTGCTTCGTGTGCTCGGTCGTTGCTCGTTTTGGTAAAGGCCGATCGGATTACTACTCTTCCTTTCCTTCATTCATCCGCCGTAGCGCCAGCAGGAAAGAGAAGAAAAGGAAAGATTCTCTCTCTCTCTCTCTCTCTCTCTCTCTCGTTCTCTTTTCCGCGCTGTTTGTCCGTTCGTTCGCGATGAGCCAACAGCGCTATTATGAAGCCTTATGGAATAACGTGCGTGGTAAAGAATTAAATAGAGATCGCGATATCTCCAGCCGAGGTACTGTTAAATGCTTCTTTAACGCGCGCGCATTTGAGGAAACGGTGTACGTTCCTACGATTCGTAATATCGCCACCGGTTCGTTAACTACAACGTTAACTACAACGTTAACTACAACGTGGATGATGCATCGGAACCGTCGTGATACACCGCGGTGTATATCTATCGGAGAAATCGTGTACCTCATTCGGAGGGATATTTCCCGCGGGAAAAAATCGAGCGGGCCATAATGTCCAAATATTAATTCTCGCTTTTGACTCTCTCTCGGTCTTGATGTCTTGAGACTCGTGTCAAGAACTCGGATTTGTTCAAGAGATATCTTGTTTTTATCTTTTTGCAAGACAAATAGCCGAGTCACCAAAATTTTTGATTAGGTTAGGTAAATTTGCATAATGTGAAAACGCTCTTTACAAAATTTCATTCAGAAACAAAATTCAGATTTGTCGGAAAAAGATTAATCTAGACAAAGTGCACGTCCTAGCGTATAATACATGCCGTATTTATTTCCGTTGCACCGACGGTGAATGCGTCCGGGGTGCATTGGCTGGACTGACACCCGACTTGAGAGTATCCTATTCATTCCCAATTGATACGGCGCGTTAGCTCTTCGCGATGCGTACATGCGTACACATATACACACGAGCGAAAGGAACTCCAGCAGTGGTCGTGGTTCCATACGTGACTTACGTCACCGTCGATTGTCAACCGCTTTTCTCCGACTGGTCTCTCTCTCTCTCTCTCTCTCTCTCTCTCTCTCTCTCTCTCTCTCTCTCTTCCTCCTCTCCTCTTTCTCCTTCCTACAAACAGAACACCGTTGGACGCCGCGACTCGCTGCACATCGCCCGATGCACTCGGGAGAGCGCACCTGCCTTCTTTCGCATGATAATAACGATAGCGATAATTGGCCACCTTCCAGTGGGCGCTCCACGTGTCAACCGGTGAAAGAAAAAAATCCTACGTGTTGTGATCGAAGAGATCAGTGGGAAAGCATTGATCTAATGTACTTTCATAGAATATTGAGAAAAACGGTTAGTCTTAAAGTTGGGAATTTTAATTCAGATTAATCCTTCGAGGTTTTTAAAACGGTACGGTGAGTTTAAATTTCATAAGTTTCCGTTATCCGAGATCGTAATTATTTATTAGGATATGGACTTGGATTTAAAAAGGATCGGCGCTACGGTCTCCAAAATCTTATGCGAGCCTGTGAGAGAGGCCCGCTACCTGCTAAGCAACTTCGGAGCGGAGGCGGAGCCGGCGGCGTTTCGGAAGTTGATCCACCGCGCGTTCGGCTTTTACGATCCATTTCGCTAAATAATCGGCGCGTCGTTTTTTCGCGCAGAAACAGCACGGCGGAGGCAAAACGCCGCTGGCTACATGCCAGCTCTCCTTCTCCTTCTTTCTCTCGGGGGGCTACGCTCGTTCGGCAGCCGCTCGTTTCTGAATGAACAATAGAAAATGTCTGCTACGCGCCGGCGCTGCGCGTCGTTAATGAATACCTTGAATCGGTCTGGCCTCGAGCACGCCGGGTGTTTACCGGGTGTATACGCGCGCGGACCGTGGTCAAGTAGAAACGACGGCGGCGGCAGCGATCTTTCATGGTGGTGTAGCCAACGTCCATCCTAATACGTCCGGGGGAAAACAGCAGCAGGAAGTTGTAACGTTGGCCGATACACGGCCGCCGGTAGCGCATAACGTAATCTCACCTTCCGATCGATTGCGTACACGCGAATTAATCTTTACTCGCGCGTCTTCCTTCCGTATATATTTCTTTCCGCAAATATGGACTACGCGCCAGAACTTCATTCCTGTCACGCACGCGTACGTTTTACGTATTCGCCTTTGTCCCGAAGGTATGTTATATTTAAGATTCGCGAAGAAAAGTAGTATCGTGAATATTTCATAATTATTTCAACGATTATCGCTGCGTTAAAATAGTCATATCATTATAAATTTGTCTCTTTAAAAATATACCTTGTCTTTATATAGCCTTTATAAACCGATAAGCCGGCTAATTCTCGATTACGTTCTACTCTGCGCATTTGGAGTAGCGGAGCTCTCTCTCTCGGGATCGAACGTAGCGTGCGAAGATCGGCGTTTTCGGAACTCGTAACAGCATCACCTGGGAAGATAGCCCGGTAAACTACCTTCTCTCTCTTATGCATCTTACTCGTCTCTCTCTCTCTCTC